TGGTGACGTTTCCCGCTTGATTGGGTAGTGAGAGCAACCTTACCTGGCCTCGATACATTTGTCCTCTCAGGCCCAGTTCTTCCTATGCCAGCTGGGTTCTTTGCTAATGTTTGTTCTCAGAGTTACACCTGATTTTGTTTTCTAGTTTTCATCTGAATCCCTTGGGGGAAATGGGATCATTTTGCTTTTGTTTCTTGGCCAGGAGTTGCCTGGTGCTGAAAGCTTTGTGAGAAGACCTGATGAGGAACAGAGTCACGGGGACCCACTGAGAGGCAGAGAAGAGGGCACGAATCGGTCCTGGGCTTGAGCTGTGGTCATATCCTCCTGCCCTTTACTAAGCTACTGGAACAAGGGGTGATCTTTGCTCCAGCACAAAAGGCAGCGGAAAGACCCTGAGCTTTCTGTAGCAAATCCAGGGACAGGAGCAGGGTGAGGCTGGGTTTGGGGCTCATGTCCTCTCAGACTGCCCTTAGAGGGGAAATGCAGAGGAGTTGGGGTCCCTTTAGGCCTGGGTAGGCAGCACTGGTAAGAAGCAAGGACTAGCCAGTCAGCAGCCCTCTAGGTGTTGTTCCAGAAACTTTCTGGGGTAGAAGTGTTGAGATCAGTCTTGCAAACACTTTCTTCTGGGGAGGAGTGTGATGATGCCTCAGAGGTCGGACAGAGCAGGCATCCTTTATATACTCACTGCCTGCAGTCTCAACAGGCCTCTGTCTGTAACACCTTGCCCGTTCTGGGCAGGGTCTTACTTTAAACTGGCCTTCTGATTAACTTTCTCCGACACATGGTAGAGGACCACAGCTTCACCCGTGCCTGTGGCCTTATCACATGTTCTGTGCTGGCTCCCTGATTGTGGGAGGGGACTCATGACCTAAGCAGGCTTTTCAAGTGAGCGAGCCACTGGGAATGGCTGCTACCCTTCCTTGGAAATAGTGGTTAGATCACTGGATGTGAAGAGCTAGAGTGTGCATATGTGACATTCTGGTGGGTGAATGCTGGATCCCTTTTGGATAACTGCAATTGTTCATAGGAATCTTTGCAATGCTCTCACTCTCTATGGCAAACCCTATAGGTGTAGGTAGTCTTGTGTGACCCATCAGAAGACAGTTGTTCTGGCTCTGGACAATCTCTTCACTGTCCCTCTAGCGTGTGGCACATACACATTTAGTCGAAGTGTATTAAAAGGGAAGATAACTTGTTCATGGATGGCTTAACCCACTAGGGTAAATGTTTCACTCCTTTAAGCCCCAGCTTTCTATTTTGACATTTATCCTTGCTTGGTTTCAGTCACTGTGGTATGATTTTGAAGAAATATGACTAAATGTTATAAATCCTATGTCTACCGTTGACATCAGGGTAGAGATGTTCTTCAGGATCTATGAGTCAGTCTATTGGAAAGGGCACAGCGAGGGCTGTGGTTGTAGTTCAGTGGCTGCTTAGAATGCTTGTGGCCCTGGGTTTCATCTTCAATACCTGTGTGTGCGCGCACACACACACACACACACACGTATATGATTCATATGTATGTACGCTGGTGCCTGGCTTCACGGACTTCTTTCCAGGAAAGGAGTGACCTTTTCTGGAATCCGGTCTTTCTGTTGGCAGCATTGTGTCCGTAGTGCATTTGCTAAATATTAGATGACAGTGAATCACTGGGTCCTCTGTGCACATGGTCCTTGCAAGTGGACAGTACCGCTTTGCTGTCTCCTGACAGTGCCCTCATCCTCTCCAGTCCCCACCAGGCCCTGGCTCAGGGGCCCTCCAGACCCAGCTTCCTGACAGCTGCTGGGACTGCTGTGACTAAAGACCCAGGTGCCCAAGAGTCTGGAGGAAAACTGGGAAGCTCATCTTTCCTCCCTCTTTCGGGACCCCACCCAGGTCAGGGAGAGGTGAGGGCCTCCTCTGCCTGGAGACCAGCACCAGAGGGTGTGGGACAGTTGTTCAGCTCCTCCCTGAAGGAGGAGAGAAGGGGAAGGAGTGGGAAAATACAGAAATGCTCTGAGATAAACCTGAAGCCCCCTGGTCAGGAAGCACAGGAGCCTGGCTTTCCAGGAGTCTATCAAGGAGGCCCTTGTGTCAGCTCCTGGCAGCACCAAGAACAGTGGTGATTAATATTGCCAACTCACCCTGCTCTCCCTCTGCAAATGGCTCCCCAGAGGGGCAGAGAGGTCCATTAATGTTCCCAGTGGGCCTTGGCCAGCGGATGCTCTGTCCCGTGACAAGAAGAGCCAAGGCCCTTGTCACTTCAACAGCAGCATGGATAACCCTAGAGTCATCCACCAACCGTGCAAGGTGCCATTTATCATTAAAAACCAGCTTACTTTTGGTTTGGGTTCTATTTTTCATTTTAAGTGAGTAAAAGTCAGAAACAGTTCACAGAGGAAGGCAAAAAAGAAGTGGTGTCTTTTAAACATGCAAAGATCTTTAACCTCAGTCATAAAGTGTTGGGGATGTAGCTTTAGTGAAAGAGCAACTGCTCACCCTGTGTGAAGCCCGGGGTTTGATCCTCAGCACTCAATAAATAAAAATGAAAACTAAATGTCAGACTAAGCTGTACACTAATTAAAAGGAGAAGGAAAAGGAGAAGAAAATGTTAACTAGAGCTTCACCGAGTTAATCCCTCTCTCCTACAGGCAGGCAGAAACACGAAGGTTTGATGGTAACTGGCAGTAACGGGTCATAAGACTGGAGATATGGTGGGTACTGTTAAGGAAAGAAATTATTCAGTGACACTTGTGAATCACAGTCAGGAGAGCTTTAGCAGGGACCACTGTGATGGGCATTCAGGGCTCAGTTCTGAACACAACACCTGCAAGTGGGATTCATAGCCAAAAGGTGGGAAGTCACTAACGGGCAGTGGGGGTGTGTGACTCTGACACCACCTCCCAGGGTTCTCTCTGGAGGCTTCCTGGGTGAGCACCCTGAGTGCCCTTTGCCCTCCTGCCTGTTCCCTGGGGAAGAGGGGCACGAGGAACCTGATCAGTATTAAAGCTGATCAGATGTCAAGCCGGGGATTTCTAGGCTGACTCAGCAGAAGTCCTGTTCAAACCAGATTTCACCAGGAAGTACAGGAAGACTAATCGGAAACCTGACTAAAGTTCCCTCAAACACAGACTTTTTGTCAAGGACAAACAGCGCGATTTTTATGGAAGGTAATCTGATAATGACTCACAGAATGTATGTGTATTTCTCTTTTGACCTGAAACTTTCTTTTTAGGAATCTAGGACTCTGAATTAGTAGCCACTTCTCCTTTTATACAAAAGAGAATTCACATTAAGTGCTCACTATTCAAAGTGAGGTATATGGGCCAGAAGACTAATCATGGGGGAGCTGGTTAGAATGCCCAGAATCAGGCATTTCCACAGAATTGGCATCTGCATTTTAATGCCTCCAGATAATTTATTTGTGCACTGAAGTTTGAGATGTGTTGCACTAGGTTAATTCTGGAAGCATTATTATTATTTTTTCCAGTACCAGAAATCGAATTCAGGTCCTTGCATTTGTCAGGCAGGCACGGTGCCACTGAACTCTGGTAGCATTATTTGTAATGATATAAGATTGAAAACAATTCAAATGGCACAGAAGGAATACAGTGCAGCCAGGAAGAAGAAGGCAGATCTCTATGTATGAGTTGGATTTCCAAAGCCGTTAAGTGAAAAATGCAAGTTGCAGAACTGTCAGTTGATCATAGAACGCTACTTTGATAAGCAAGATGAAGTTAGAATTAGTGTATCTGTGTACATGTACACACATTGCTTATTTTTGCAAAAGATCAGTGGAAAGATAAACCTGAACTAATAAAATCGGGGTGAAAGGGATGGAGGAGGAGAAGTGGAAGTGAGGCATCTCTGAGCCTACTTTTATTTTTCACTACTCCAAAAATAAAATTAAGTAGCAACTAAGGTAGGATGGGCTTGTTTGCCACCAACATCTACTGGGCCGGGGGAGGATGTTTCTGACTCGGGGCTGCGGAATTAGTGCAAGAACAGCGCCCACATCAGACGTCAGCACTGTGGAAACCCGGATTTGGGGAGCAGACGGAGGTGGCAGAGGACAGCATGAAATTTCCAAAAGTAATTCACCTTCGAACCTGGCTAACGTTCTTCTAGACCGCAGTGTACAGTAAACAGGGCTTCCATTCCTCTTTGTATAATTTGTCCGGGGCCTTGGGGTCTAATTCTTTCAGGTGAAGAGTATTGGAGTCTTTGAATACAGGAAATGATCATCTGAGCTTTGCTTTTAAAGACTTACTCCGAGGCAAGGGCTAGTACAGACACAGGCCTCACGCAAGCCAGGCTTGCACTTGGCGGCTGAGCTGTACCAACAGGCCAAGCACTTCTCATGTGCATTTTATTGTTTCGTTTTTGCACTGGCTCAGTGCTGTCCACTGAGTAAGACCTGAGTGCCGGT